CTTTTACTTTTAGTGTGTATTTTAAAATGCACATTATACCAAACAGAATGTGAGAGAGCTTTTCGAGAGTATAATTCTCCAAATTTAACTCATTTTATTAAAGTAGTTTTAAAAAATTCCGACAGGTGGCGCATGGTGACTTAATTTTCTCACAAGTAGAAAGTTAATTTCTAAAATATATATTAATTCTTTATTTTTTTTTTTTAAATTAACAACTAAATTTATTTATTTATTTATTTATTTATTTAAATTTAGGAATATTAATTAATTTATTTAAAAAATAACCATAAAAATTGAAGGATACTTTTTAAATTGTCTTATCTATCGTTAAACATCCGATCCTCGTACTGACGATATATTGGCAATTGTAGTAAGCTTAAAGACCTTTACCGATGCCGGTGTTGAAATATTTTCCGCCGGATGCATAGCAATACGGACCATCACTAAATATACGCATGCGCTCTATGAATATTGTTACGCATTGCGGTTGTAGTAATATAGAAAGAAACGAGCTAGAGGAATAGAAGAAAATGAAGAAGAAGAAGAAGAAGAAGAAAACGAATTCGTATCTTACCATTTTATTTTCTAGGAATACATAAGCCCTGTAACTTGTTCTTCTATAATTCTGGTGGTCTCTATCTTATATACCCAAATGAAAAAAAAAATAATAAAAATTTTCCTCTTATTATTTTTTACTGCTCTTGTTTATTTTTTGGACCTTTTGTTGAAAATGTCTTACAAAACGATCGAGGTCGGCACCTTGGCGTTAAGAGTCACTTGATGGTCTAGACACCATTTTTTTTAACCTGAATTAAAAGCTTATACATTTATTTGAAATGCAATTACCTAAAGTTTAAAAAGCCAATTACCTTTATTGCAAATAAAATTACAAAAAGTACGATAAACTATGTGTAATAATAACTAGCAACCTTGCAGTCACTATGTGACTTCCGTGACTTGTAAACTAGAAATAAATATAATTTTGCTTTATTAAATAATCAATTTTGGTAAATTACATTGTACTTTTTTGTATTGGGATGATAAGCTCATCCCGATGTTACACTCATTAAGAGCTTTCATTAGAGTACCCACATGCATTTTTGATATATTTTTCATATATATACATAAATATAATATATAGAAATATATATTTAAATATATGAAAAATTGATGTGGGTACTCAAATTAAAGGTCTCGATGAGTGTAATATCAGGATGAGCTTATATCTTTAAAAATGTCAATATTTAAGAAAGTACAGTTCAATTTAACAAGAGTCATTATTAAATAATACAAAATTTTATTTTAATACTCATAAATTTACTACATTTTTAAAGATATATATATTCTCTTATTCATATCACAAATAAATAGCATCATTTTGATTTCTCGTCAATCGGATCCGTCGATATATTTATACTGAATTTTTATCTCTCGATAAAATTTATATTCAATAAAATAAAAGATCCGTGGTGTAGATTTTAAAGAAATAGATATATAAAAGACTATGACAATAAATGACGGGAAAAAAAAAATTCCAATATTAAAATAATAATGTAGTCTTTAAATAATTTTTTTTTTTATTTTTATTATTGAAAAGAATGCCAAGTTTTTGTTTGTTTACATTTTTATTTTCTTTTTACTTTTCCCAATAATTACAACTCGTTAGCGAATAATCTTCTCACTTATGTGACGTTCTGGCAAAAGATTTGAATTATGAATCGATAATTTATTTTAAATGTAATAAACGAATTTCTCGGAATTACATTCCAACGGAAATTTTAGACGATAAGAAGTCATCGCGGCCCGCGAAACGTTAATATACCCACGTCAGCATGGGATCCGGGCCTCGACGACGTTCCCGAAGTGTAACCTGAACCCAACAATGGCTGCCACAGATCATTTTGTATAATTAAATAATTAACTAAGTCAGTCGACCGGGAGAGCTCTTCGAGCTCGGACCTTGTCCACCGGCTTCTATCTAATTTTGTTCGTATCATTAAATTTTTATATTATAATGTTAATCTTGACTAATTATTTCTAATAGGGGCGAGCGCTTCTTAGCGTTCTACCCTATTTCCTAATATTTCTATAGGGGCGAACGCTTATTAGCTGTTCCACCCTGCTCCTATCAGTAAAAAAAATTAAAAATAATCATATTAATAAAAATCATGGTAAGAGAGATCATCTGTGCGGCCCACCTGGGGTCTATCGACTCCCTAACGAGACTAACCTGGGATTTTTAAAATTATTGAAAGTCGTTATCTGGAAGACCCAAAATTCTAGAACGTTACACTTAAACTTTTAATCTTATTGAATTGAATTTTGTTTAGTTTTGTTCACCGTCGCGTCAGTATCTATCTATATATATATATATATATATATATTTTTATTTTTGATATCCATCCCCTAGCCCATGGCAATTCTTTCTTCTGGCAGGCACAGCTCAATTGTCCGCGAGAAGCGGGAAAAGATTCCATTAAAAGTTGACGATGAGCTAGCGGGTGAGAAGAGGGTGACAAGAGAGAAAGAGAGAGAGAGAGAAGGGATGAATCTAACGCTCGACGGACTTTTGAGTTTTAATGCACTCGATATAATCAGCCCTCTTATCTCAAAATACCTAAGCGCCTTTCTCGTAAATTGGAAAAATAATTTGCTGTTTTATAACAACTTTCATAAAGCTACATTGTGTTTTTTTTTTTTAGTTTTTATTTTAATTACTTTTATAGTATAAAACGTGAATTTAACAACAAAAATGATAGTAATTGAATGATATTAAGTGTAAAAAAAATGAAAAATAAAAAAGGAATAAATTAATCTTGAATTAGCATAAATCGAATCGGTGAATTTAAATGTGGTTGATTAGAGTTGAATTGATTAAACGGGTAAATTCAAACTCAGTCCAGCATAAAATACTGATGGATTGCTTTAATTACTTAGCACTTGAATTACAATGTGAGTCGATGGTAAATTATACTACTTGAAAGTTAACTACACTTATCGAAAGAGCTTAGTAGCTTTGTTTATACATATTAGTTATTTATGTACCTTGGGCGAGTCACGCGCCAATACGGTCGAGGTGATAAGTATTTTCAGCAGGGATAGTATAAAGCCGAGGCCCGATAGGTTAATTGATTACTTAAATAATTGTTAATTAATATCTCGAAAATTTTAAGAGATTAAATTATTTAATAAGATTTTCTGGAGGTTAGTTTTAAAGTAAATTTATGAAACTCATTTTTTTTAATTATTAAAAACAAAAATGTATACTTGTTAAATTAATAAAAAATTTTGCAAATTTTAAAAACAAAATTTTCAAAAAATCTAATTTTAATAAAAATTTTTATGGCACTGAAATTAGCAGGCATTTGACAATTTTTGTTTTTTTAATTAATTTAGCAGATATTTGATCATTTATTAAAAACGCAATTTTATAAAAACAATTTTTCAGAACAAATTTGTTGGAAAAAAAAAAAAAATTAAAAAATGGTCAACTGACCGCTAACTTGAATGTAAATTTTTTTATTTGTTTTGAAAAATAAACTAGGACTAGAAAATTATTTTAGCAGATATTTGATAATTTAAAAAATTTTTGTAATAAATAAATTATAGCAAAAAAAAAATTATTTTAAAAAATTGACATGTAGAAATTATGACATTAAGTTAGCTGTCACTTTACCAATTTTTAATTTTATTTAATAATTAAATTAATTCTAAAAAATTGCATTTTTAATTTTTTTAAATTTTTACATGTCAATTTTTTTTCGTATTTGCTTTTTTTTTTGCCGTAATTTATTTGTCAACAACTGTTCTAAAAATGATCAGTAACTGCTAAATCAATTTTCATGTAGAAATTTTTAAAAGATAAAAATGGATTTTCTAAAAATAATTAAAAAATAATCAAGTGACTGCTAACTCTAATGTCATAATTTTTCTTATAATTTATTTGCTAAAAAAATTATAAAAATTTTTACTGAAATAAAAAAAAAATCAAACTAACTACAGAATTTACAAATTTTTTCTTTAGGTGAATTATCAATTAGCAACAATGAGACTTTCAGCAAAAAATAAATGGCTTGACAGATTTCACCATGGATTTGTATATTGCTGCATGGGATTGAGCGCAATAACCTTGGTAGGGCTCGCTCAAATGGGCTACGATTACTACTTTAATGTAAAACCCGCTCTCCAAGCAGAGAAACTAAAAAAGGAGCGAGAATTACTCAGAGAAGGCAGCCCCTTCATCTCAGAAGCTGAAGTAGCCAGCTCTTAGTCATAAACAACTTTAGAAAGAACTAAAAATGTATCAAATAAATAAGGATAATTATCGTATATCGTAAAATGATTTATTTTGTACAAAAATTTATAATAATAGACTTATGTAGAAGATTTGTTTTATTTTTATTTAAGCATCACTGAATGTTCAAGTTATAAACTTTAATTTTCATTTAAATGTAGATTTAAAAATTTAACAAAGCTCTTCAATTATATAACATTTAATTTTATTGGCAGCTTTATTAAATTTTATATTAGCCTTACGTTTATCATTTCTTACAATATTAATTATCTAATAATCGAGTAAAAAACTGTCAATTGCTCGAGATCAAGTGTGAAGTCAATAAAAAATATTATTTACATTCAATGTTAAGAAATAAACTCAAAATTTCGTACTTTTGAACTTATAACTTCAAAATGCATCACTTGGTTATTTACAAACTTACAATTACCGCTTAATATGTCCATAAATCAATTAAAAAAAAAAATCTCGCCTAGACATTTAATATATGTAAACAATTTAAAAATAATAACTTATTTTGTTCACACGTCCGCGGCCTTAAGTCTTTGAATATAAAGATTATCGTATCATATTCTAATAAAAATTAATTTTTTGTGGACATGAGTATACCGTATACGATAATGTCTTCATTTCAGTCTTATACGTAGCAGTTTGTACACAATAGAATAATTGTTCAAGTAATTACAATCCAGGACGGAATTGATATTTATGAGCTATTTGACAAGGGTGAGTTGCTAACATTGTTGTCTATTCTCATAGAGTCTACTTTAGCGACTATCTTCAATGCTGGACCTAGTTTGATGCTCATTCCAGACATCAAGTGATCTTCTTTGAGCAACATCAGAGCTTGACCGTCAATTTCCTGGATTGCAAAGTCCTCTGCGTAGTCTGAACACCCTGGTAAGTTGCGAATAAAGTCGCACACTTCGTTGACCTGATAAAAAATTACAATTTTTATAAATTTATTATTTTACTCTTAAATTATATGATTTTTTATTTTTATAACAAATTTAATGTAATAAAAAAATTTTTTTATAATTTTCAAATGCTATATCTCTAGATACATTATTAAGAAATGTCCTTGTATCTTGTGAAATTTTGACATTTTTTAAGATATAAGCTCACCCTGATATTACACATCGATACCTTTCATTTGAGTACCCACATCAACTTTTCATATATTTATATATATATATATATATATATTATATATATGTATATATGAAAAATATATCAAAATGCATGTGGGTACTCAAACGAAAGCTCTTGATGAGTGTAACATCAGAATGAGCTTATATCTTTTAAAACGTCAATATTTAACAAAGTACAGTGCATTTTAACAAAAGTCATTAAGTCATTATTTAATAAAGCAAAATTTTATCTATTTATAGTTCACAAGTCACAGCAGTTATATAGTGACTGCAATGTTGCTACTATTAATTAACTTCATTTTCCATTAAATTAAATATAATTTATCAAGAAGAAACGCTTACCGTCCATTTGATAGGATTAATTTTAGGAGTAAGATCTTCAATAGGCAGAACTGATTTTTCTTCCGCAATTTTCTTCGCTGGATCATCTTTCTTGCTATCAACATCCATGTCCGTCCACTGTTTGTCTGCAAACGGCTCAGAAGCTATAATAATATTTATTAATTTAAATATAATAAAAACTTGATAAAATTTAAGGATTATTTAAGTTTTTTTTGAAAAAATAAATTACATTCTTGGATGACAAAACCCTCGATGACATGAGTCAGGACTTGTAGTTTAACCAAAGCTTTTGGAAGAGCTTGTTTGCCACTCGACGTCGGAGTAGATACAGCATTTGCTGGTTCATTAGTAATTCCATTGGTGATTGAGTTTACAGCATTGTCTAAATTAACCAGTGGATTGTTGGAGAGTTTATCATCAGTTTTAGCGGCAGTTTCTTCTTTAGCTGATTGTTTAGATTCATCTATAATTATTTGAATTAAAAATTCAACTATTTTAATTAAAAAACAAAAATAATATAATTATTTAAGTATAATTTAATAATATAATTAAATAATTAAAATTAAAATTAATTTTAAATATTAAATATTAAATTTAATTAATTTAAAACTAATTAAAATTAATTATATGATTATTTTATTTAAAAAACGCGTGGGGTGCATGGTGTCAATAGTTATAAATATTTTATTGACAGATATGAGTAGAGTGATTATCATTTTGATAATATCTTAAAAAGCACCCCACGCTTTTTTTAAACTTTTTAGTTTGATTTATTTATAAAAGCGTGATTTTTTTAGTTTTTTATTTTTTAAACTAAAAAATCACGCTTGAGAAACGGCTACCAGTACCAAGGAAGGCCGCAGGCGCGCAAATTACCTACGGAGAGTTACTGACATACTGACATACTGACATACAAGTGAAGCTAATAAAAAGCGTGTAAAAAATAAATACCTTTTTGTTTTTGTTCATGTATATCATCCATTAATTCGTCATACTTTTTCCGTAAATTGTCATATTTATTATTTAAGATTTTTGTTGTTTTCTCTAGGAATGCTACACATCTTTTTAATTCATTAATCTCACGCATCACTTCAAGATGTTGTCGATTTATGCTCTAAAAATAAATAAGACAACTGCATTAATTTTAAAATAATACAATACTCTAGTTTATAGATATTGGGGTCAAAATTTTTTAGAAACTACGGTTTCAACATGATCCGAAGAAATAGAGCGAAAAAAAAAATTTTCCAAATTTTTGATTTTTTTTTCGCTCTACGGGCTCGGAAAAATTTTTTCAGACAAAGCGACTTTATGAAGCAGATAGTCTGTTTATTCAGCTTCAATTGCATTTTTTATTCAGCTTGATATGACCATTTGTTGCAGCGATATTCGAGATTAGACGAAAAAGGACGTTTATGTCATTAACCATCAATATCTCTGCAACCAATAATCGCACAGCAAAAAAAAAGGACAGTTTTGGAAACTGGAAGAAATTCCTAATGAAATCCCATAAAAAAAATAGGAAAACGGTTGACCCTGCAAAAGGCCATCCCTGCAACTTCCCGCCAATTCTATACCTAAACGCTTGAGATTGCACTTATGACGTTTTAGAGCTCTTCGAGCTCTTAAATACAATTTGTGTATTATTTTGAGCTCTCCGAGCTCAAAAAAATAAATTTTCTATGCTTTTGAGCTCTTTGAGCTCAAAAGTTTGATAGGAGTTTGATAAAACACTATTTTTGGAATTTTTCAAATCGCAATAACTTTTGAATGAATGAACCGATTTTCACGCGGTTGGCAGCATTCGACGCAGTTTTTTAAGCTTTATAGTAAATCTGTGAGTTTATATCGACAGAGTGGAAAAATTCGGAGTAATTCCGAAAAAACGCTTTTTTCGGTTTTCTTTCGTCAACGATAACTCACGAACGAATCAACCGATTTTGACCGGACTAGCGGCGATCGACGTGGTTTTTTGACGTTAAGAGCTGATTAGTTTTTGGAATTGATCGGTAGAGCCGTTTAAAAGTTATTTCAAAAAAACCACTTTTGAAAAAATTTTTTTTTGTAGTTTTTTTACGATTTCTCGAAATCGGTTCAAATTTTCAGGAAATCTAAGTTTGGGCAAGCCCTTTCGAATGGCACCAACCGCGATCAAATCGGTCAAGCCGTTCAAAAGTTATAAGAGGGTCACATACATCCACACACACACACACACACACATACATACATACATACAGACATACAGACACCACCGCGGGAGTAGTCAGGGAAGCTTCCTATGACCTTAAAACGTCGAGATCTGATGAAAACTCGATTTTTGCAAAATGGGGTGAAAACAATAACTTCCCGATTTTTGAAAATCTGAGATTTTTAGCGGGAAGTTAAAAATTTAACTCAAATAAATCATTTTTTCACAAGTTACAGTGTTTCCGGAGTTTCATACATGACGGACAGGAAAATTTTTTGACCTATTTTGATATTTTTTTCCGTTTTTATTGCACTAAATTAATTTTTTGCTAGTATGAAATTGATCTCCATTAAATTATCTCGACAATAGTATGCAAAATATCTTGATTCCGTGAACTAACAAGGCTATAATACTAAAAATAGTTGCCAAAATGGGGCGAAAAAAATTTTACGATCGTAAAGCACTCTCTGATGCTTCGCATCATGAGTCGTGCAAAAGTGACTTTTTTCCTTATTTTGGTTAATCGACTGTATCTTAACAAATAGTGACGGGGGAGCTAGACATTGCAGGAATTTTTACACCTTAAGGGGTTAGGGGTAGTCAGAGACACGAAAAAATGAGAATTTTCAGTATTTTTTTTTTGCTATTAAATTATGTTATTTTACAAAAGTAATAATATGGCATTATTACACAATGATTTGAAGTCACGAAAATTTGGAAAAAAAAAATTAATAATTTCCAAAGTTATAGCTGTTTGTGTGGACCCAGTTTCAAAAAAAGGTCCTTGCGGAGACAATCATAAGTCCTTGGAGATTTATCAAAAATCAATCGGATTGAAAAAATTAGTTTTATAAATAGATTATCTTGGGTCTGATCGAAGCTTTTTTTTTTTTTTTTTTTCAAAAATTAACAAAATGTCGACCTCAAGAAATTTTTTTCTAGATTTTAAGAAAAAAATCAACAGTTACTTGGCCATAAAAAATCGAAATTTTTGAAAAAAAAAAAATCCTTCGATCAGGCCCGAGTTTATTATGTATTCTAGAAGCTGTATAAATTTCATTCAAATCTACCAAGCGGTTTTCGAGTTACAGTTGTCACCAATTCAAAAACCATAGTTTTGAAAAAAACGCATTTAAAGTTTCACATTAGATTAATGTACCGTGATACGCTCTTTGTTATTTGTCGAATAACTCGAAAAGTAATGATCGGATTGACTTCAAATTTTCAGAGAATATTTTTAAGATATTATACTTGAAGAAAATGCAAAAAAAAATCGATTTTTTGAAAATCCTGACTACCCCTAACCCCTTAATGTACCCCTAAAAACCCTGTAAATTTTCAGATCGATTCATTGAGTAGTTTTTCCACCCCGAGTAAAATTCCTGCAATATCTAGCTTCCCCATCAATATTTGTTAAGATACAGTCGATTCACCAAACTAAGGGAAAAAGTCACTTTTTTCAACTTTCTTTAAAGCGGTATCATACATCAATAAGATTTTTTTTTCTGGAATTTTTTTATGGGATTTCATTAGGAATTTCTTCTAGTTTCCAAAACTCTAATTTTTTTTTGCTGTGCAATTATTGGATCAGTTTGTGTTTAGAAGTATATCATAAATTCTGAAAAACTGCGTAGCATACTGCCAACCGCGTGAAAATCGATTTATTCATTCAGAAATTATTGCAGCTTGAAAATTCAAAAAATACTGCTTTATTAAACTTCTATCAGACTTTTGAGCTCGAAGAGCTCTAAAGCTTAGAACAGCTAACTCTTTGAGCTCAGAGAGCTCGAAATAACATATAAATTGTATTTTTGACTTCGAAGAGCTCAAAAACGTTATAAGTGCAATTTTAAGAGCTTATTTATGGAATTAGCGGGAAGTTGTAGAGATGGCCTTTAGGATCAACCGTTTTTCAGATTTTTTTATGCGCTTTTTTAGCATAGATCCCTACACGGAAAAAAAAAATTGATATAAATTTTACGTCAGGTGATGCTATATTCGGTTCACTAGTATAGAAAGTGCTGTATCATAGTATAGTAAAGTATAGGTTATAATACATTAGATACAAAATTAGCGTCTACAGTGATACAAATTTTGCATCACCTTTTTTTCCGTGTGCTAACCTGTAGCTATGCGCCCTTTTTGCATTAGGCACGTGATATTGTTCAAATTAGATTGATATTATTAGTTAAATTAAAATTATTACACAGCGATTGAACGTTAAAATTTTCTTTCATATAACGAGCTTTTAATATAATAATTAACCCGTCAGCACTCATGTGAACTTTTCGGTAATCTTTACTCTCGTGATGAGAGATTTGCTCACGTTTAATCTGCATGCGACCGGGCAGCTATACAGTTACGAAGATACATGAACTAGCCCGAACGTTACCAAAAGTACATTTTTTTTGTTACACCTATAATCTCGTGATGAAAAGAATGCTCACAATTTCCGACGCGCATGAGAAAAATATTTTTTTATAAAGTATATATAATATTAAAGCATTTCAAAAGTTCATAATTTGAAAATAGATAAAATTACTCGAAGGTAGAAAAAATTTCATCTACCCTTTCCATTTGAAAAAAAAAAAAGTTTTCATTGTTTTAAATCGAGCGTGAGCAAAATGCTCATAACGTGAGTGCTGACGAGTTAAATTCACAAATATTAATAATTCAAATTGTACCTGATTTGTTGACATTAGTCGAGAGTATGTTTAAATATGTTCTTTACGTAACTTAATTTCACTTCACAAAAAAATTTAATTTTACTTCTCCACGTGGTTTCAAAGAAATTCAGTAAAACCTTTCGACGATGTTAACACGAGTACGTCTAGGACAACAAGAGAGATTTTTTGGTGAAAATTAGTATTGCAAAGTGACAATCGATTAATCCATTTTTCAATCTCTAAAATCGATTTTTTATAATCGATTGTAGGCTTTTCGATTAATCGAAAAATAATCGAATAAATTTTTTAAAAAACAATTGTTCACAATCGATTTTCGAGAAAATAAAAATTTTTTTTATAAATTTATGTTGGAATAATATTAATGTTTATATAAGGCAAAGTACCCAGTAGTTGAACAGGTTTCAAAGTAAAACGTATTTGACCCTACTTTTAATATATAAATATGTAATTATTAGTTCAAATGAGTGATTTTTATGAAAGTATAAACAAAATTTTGAATTGATTCAAGTGCAAAATAACGCAAATAATTGATTATTTATAATTGGACGACGTTTTTAAGATAGACTATGAAAGGAGTAGTAGTTGAACAATCAATTCTGACAAGCCGCAGTAGTTGAACACTCTGGGAGCAGTAGTTGAACTAATAAAATATATGGCAATAGGCACACCAAAAATTTTTAACGTTTTTAATTGAAATATTCAAAGATTTATAATATATTATTGAATAATACTAAAAATATTTAATATGTTCATTTAAAAATGAGAACTATACTTTTTCGTATATGTACCTTTACTCGATAAAAAAAATAATAATAATTTTAAAACTTTTAATAAAAATAATCAAAAATTTAATAATAATAAAAATCAAGTTTATTAACTTTATTAATTATCAAAATCAAAAAATTAAACTTAAAGAAGAAAATATATAGTATTTTCTGTACTTGCGTATACGCACTTGTCTTACCTTTGACAACAATACTCCGCAGCTAAATAAGCTTATTTTACGTCCAAAAAAATTGAGTTCATCAATGGATGATTCAGATGAGGGTATCAATTTGGTTTAATAAATATTTATTATCACTGATCACTCGTTATAATCAATAATCACTTATTAAACACTATTTGCTGTGAACAATCATATAAAATACTCACTTGTTAATAATTATTAACTATAGCGTCGACACGTGTGTGTTTACAATTTCAAAGTTAAAATGAAACTAAAACTTTGTCACCGGTCAATTGA